ACTTCTGCAATCTAGAAGGAAAAAAACCCAGACCTACTCTTACTGTACACTGGTCTCAATTCTCCTCTTTTCTAATGCCATTTCTTCCACACTGTCCTAATTTATCTGCCACAAGATATGGAAAGGTGCAATGGTCAATTTCAATAGCATGTATAACATGCTGTAAGTGATTATCTCGCAGGCATTTTTTTAAAATCTGAAGCTATTTCAAATTAGTTTTTATAAACAAAGGTAACAATCTGTGCAGCATATATCAAAGCCAAAAGCTCCAAAAGCAGTCACTGACTTTGGGTACCATATTTCTGAGTTGTTCCACCTGAGACAACTTGGACTTTGCTCAAGTGTTGAGCGCCACCCTTCCAGATGGTCAGTGGGAGCTGCAGGTACTCAGCCCTTCTGAAAATCAGCCCAAGGTGTTTAAGGCTGGTCACCAAAATGTGAGATACCCCAAATTAGTGGTCAATTTTGAAAATGTGGGCTCAGCTGTTGTTTATACTGAGTCAGAAAACATCCTTGTAAAAATCCCCTTGTGTCCCAAAGCTAAAGAAACAATTTAAAATAAAAATGCAGAGGCATTTGAGTGGGTGGATTATAACAATAATGAATAAAATAATAATAATATTAGAAAAATCACCTTTCATCCTGACAGACCCCAAAGCATTTTTACAAATGATGGATTAAATTCAGGCCCTACATATTTTTGTGGCACCGATGGGCTGCAAACTTAGGCAGCATTTGTGTGGACATTTTTCCTGTCATAGCCCTACATGGACTAGTACCCTCCTGATACCTATTATGCAAGATTATTCCTGCTAAAAGTAATCTGACCAAGATGTAGGGCAGCTGAGACAGACAGCATACATGCTACAACATGTTGGCCATGTCCCCTGACCACTACCTCCACCTCAAAACACCCTCTCTGAGGCTGCAAGTGACTGACAGAGAATTAGTTGCACCCTGCATTGGAACCTCTTTTCCCATCTGTGCTCATATCGTTCTACCTGGGGTGGAACACAGCAGCTCTTTGGCAGCACACAGCAGTATAAGAGCAGAAGTAACAAATGCCTCTATCAAACTAAAATGTTAGATACTCAGAATGTAATTATTTAAATTGAAATCTGGCCATGAAAATCGATTAACACTTTAATTCTTATGTACAGGGCTAAGGGATATTTGATAATCATAGGTGACCTTCAGTTCTATCCCTCATTTGAAAGAAAGATGTTTGGGGACTCAGTCCAGTAGTGACTTGGAGGAAAATGTGCCAGTTACACAAAGTCATTAACACCATTTCCTGAAGTGCTGGGGTTTCCTTGGATGTTTCCTCATTCAAGGACTGACCAGATCCTACCTAATGAATTCACAATGTACCTAAAAGAGCTAAAACTTTGGTTACCACCATGGTACCTCGCCAAATGTCCCCATAAGTCTTCGGAAAGTGCATAAAACTATAAAAGCTCTTCACCAGAGTGTGGAGACACAGGGAATCCTCCAGCTCAAAATGGCTTCCCTAGTCATTATTATTAGGCTTGGCAGAATTTGATTTTTATTGTAATTTTGACAATTTAAATATCCCCCCTCCCCATTTTTGTCTATTTTTATTTTTATGGTTGTGCGAGGTAGAGGTTGGGGTTAGGGCAGTGCTGATAGCAGGGCTGCAAGGGGCTCATTGTGCGGCCGAGAGGCCCAAGACACTGTGGCACAAGGTGCGGGGGAGACACATCTATACAGCCATAAGAGAATGAAACCAGGTTTTCAGTTTGGAGTTTAGGCATTATGATAATTTCCTCTCATCAGATAACATTTCTTAGACTTAACCTTCACAGGTCAATGCCCTCATAATTTGGCCATTCTTAACAAACCTGTTCCTCAGAAGTTAACTGCCTCTAGTTAGACAGTAGTTAAATGGTGCACAGCATGGGCCTCTACTCTGCAGAATAATTTTAAAAAAGTTTACCCCCTCCCAAAAAAATCAGACTCTTTCAAAATCATTCTCTCTATCTCTCTCATTTATTTTTAACATCCTTCTAGAAACAGTGTTTACAGTGACTCTACTTCAGAGACAAGGAGCTGGGCTAGAGCCATGGCAAAAACATGCATCCCCCTCCCAGCTACCCATCTGCAGTAATGAGAACACAAGCAATAGCTGTACCAGAACAGATATCGGTCCATCTAGCCCAGTAACCCATCTCCAACAGTGACCAAAGTCAGAAATATTTGAATAAGGCATCAAACACTGGAATGTTCCTCTAGCTATATCATAGGGGATCAGTTTATGCCCTGAATTATGAGGGGAACAGCCCTTGTGATTTTTAGCCTAGCTACCGTCACTGCAGATTCTATCTGTATTTGTATGTATGTCTAATACATTTTTTAAAAAATATTTGAAATGAAAGTACTAATATAAAATGTAAAATAAGGCAGTATTGTCTAGTGGTTAAAGAACAAGATCAGGAGTCCAGGCACTGCATTCTGTTCCCAGCCTGGCTACCGATTTGCTGTGTGTCCTTAGACAAGCCACTTCACTGCTATGTGCCTCAGTTTCCTCATCTGTCAAAGGGGGGTATTAATATTTACCCACCTTTGTAAAGCATTTGGAGATTTTAGGATAAAAAGCATACACAGTGAGTACAAAGTGTTATTATAATATAGCCTCCACTGGGACTAAGGGGTAACGGTAATGGAAACGCACATTTACTAGAACTGATGAAAAATTAAGTTGGATGAGCAAAGTCTCCTTTCTGTAGCTGTCAAGTGTGCTGCAAAATTAAAGATTCTGAAATAAATCATGGGATTTGTGGGACTGCATATAAATTGCTTGGACTGTGTCTGCGGCCATGCACGGTCCTCCTGTCAGGCAAATGATGATGATTATACGCTATATACCATTTTAATCAGCTGAAAGTGGGCTGCCAAGTTAGGTTTCTTTTAAACCAAGGCCTGGAGAGAAGGAAAAATGGGAGAGGAGGACAGTAGTCTTAACACAGTTAAAAAAAATCCCAAATATCTGGAAGGATCAAGAGTAGCTAATACGACTATGTGAATGGCAACACATTTGGCACTGTTTGGGTTACTGTGGCTAACTTCCAGTGATTATGTACATCAGAGATGTAATATGAGGGTAGATAGGGGAAATCAATGTTTGGATGTGAATCACACACATCTAAACCGGCAGAAAAATTCAAGGATAGGGGCATTATCCAGGAAAGAAATGGGAAGAAGGGATGGAGAATTATTTTCATTCTGCCCAGAAATAACAACTGAGTCAGAAGATACTGCCTCCAGCTAAAAGTGTAACAAAACTAGAGAGAAGCAATAAAACAGCAAGACATACAACTGAGATGAGCAGCTGAGGCACTGGATACTGGGAGATATTCAAAACTTTGAATTGGCAGAGTGAGGGACAATTTTTATCTTGCATAGGAACTTCCCTCAAACGGAATCATTTTAAGGAGTAGAGAGCATCTAGATAAAATACTATTAGATTTAGAGGGGCTATAGTCCACCTAGCCTTCCCGTCCAAATCTTTCCTGTTCTGCTACTTACACAAATGATAGTAACACATAGTTGTAAGGAGGCTTGTTGTAGCTGTGTTGGTGCCAGGGTATTAGGGAGACAAGGTGGGTGAGGTAATATCTTTTATTGGACCAACTTCTGTTGGTGAGAGACGAACTTTCAAGCTTACACAGACCTGAAGAAGAACAAGAGAAGTTGGTCCAATCAAAGGTATTACCTTACCCACCTTGTCTCTCTAGTAACACACAGTGGCTAGCACTATGACACAAGAGCTCTGTTCTGTACCCACAAACCTACCTAAATTCCCTTACCTGGTGTGATTGCTGAGGCTGGATTTTAGAAACGCAAATTAAAGTCAGTGTAAATGAAAACCTCAGGTCTGTGTTAGAGGGCCAGGGATGAGCTTTGCTTCCCTGGACCTACATTCTAATAATAAGGAACGTGCTTTCCCCACACCTAGACCCTGATCCGTTTCATCTGTACCCCACACCATTCATTTATCAGCAACCTGGCCAATAGGGAAACGTTCTTTTCCAGACAAATGTAAATAACAAAATTGTTCCCACTGTTGGTGCTAAAAGACAGTTGGAATTTTTTAAAATTAATTTTTCTTCTGATGACAGATGCTGGATTAAAGTTTGGAGGCTGAAGTCCTCCAGCTGTTCCCAGAATAGGCAAGCCACATGGGCAAGGCAGCGTGAACTTTCTCCTCATACACTACCATCACCATGTGCCTCAACCCTGTCCTGAAGGGACAGTGTCTCTTAATAAATACAGTATGTAGCAATTACAGCACTTTGAATCTCCAAAATGCTTTACAAATATTAACTAATGAATCAGGAGTGAGAATTTGGGGTGAATTTTAATGGCTCATTCACGCCTTGGCTTCTTTGCTGAGGTGGCCCTTGCTGTCAATGATGATGGCGGTTCTGTGATGTACGGTTTGGGGTCTCCCAGCTCATGTCACATAGGATACTACAAAGCATGGATGTTCTATTTGTGGGGGCAGTTCAGACAATAGTGCCAAAACTCTGGCTGCAGGGGGCATCTAGCTCATGGGGGACCTATCCCACCCGGGATGCTCCAGTGTGGTGTTTTGTAGAGAATAGTTGCTTTGTGCTGACTGAGAGCTCTATCAAGATAACTTTAAGCCCCTGGGGAATCTGGATGTTTTCCCTTTTATCACAGCCCTGACTGAAAGACAGTGCAGGTTTTTTTCCCCTTCTGATTTAAAGGAAATCTCCTGCCCTTATTCTTCCAACACTCTCAACAAATACACACACCAGTTCTGGACACGTTCACATCCCTCCCCAAACTGGCAGGGTTAGAAGTTTGATGCAAGCGTGGCAGACGCACAAACAAACAATCTTGGGCCTTGCCGCTGGGGTGTCAGTTGTATAATGTTGCAAAGGGCCCCAGACTCACCTGAACTGGCACCGTCTGTTGTTAAAGAACTGAAAGCAAATGTTGCAATAGTCACATACCTTTCAGAGTAGGGAAGGCTGAGAAAGAGTCTTTGCTTTGCTTCTGGTTGTTATAATTCCACACTTGCAGAATCTAAGATGAAATAAAATGATATTGAACAGCCTGCATTTCATAACAACACAGCCAGCTGGTTCTTGTCTTCAGATTAAGCGCTTACCCAAAGGTAGATGCTTCTGGAGCCATTCAAACCTTTCACCCTGTGCACCCTCCTCTCTTCACCATGAAGTTCAGCCAATCAGGCAGTCATCTGCAAACCACAAACCACGCAGGAACTTGCAGACATGACAGCTCACAGCCCGGGGCGTGGAGCTTAGTTAGTTTAGTATGGGTTTTGTTTTTTCACTGCCTGGGTTAAACCTATATCATAGGAGTTTTAGTGAATGCTACTGCAGTTCTGTGCTTTGGTTGCATTTGATGCATTCTCCTGTGCACCCCAAGATCTATTTATTGCTTTGGGTTTGAATTTAGGACTGACAGGTCCCAAGTCTCCTTTTTGAACCAGGTGGGGCTATTAAAATTTAGCCTGATCGCCTCTCATTCAAGTCAACAACATGGCAAATGGGATAGCCACAGTGTCACTAGCATTCTAATCTGTGGGTATGTCTACCACCAAAACTCCCCCTTCAAGTTGATATCGTCCATCATGTGCATGTATGTGTGAATGTGCATATGTCTCCGTTAAGAGAGAGTGAGAGAACTCATAGGTAGCGCTGAGGTGGGGGAGCACACCACAGTGAGAGGGGTGGGTGGGTGGAAAAGAAGCAGCACTATAGACCAAGAGATTTTAGCAACCTGTGAAATGAGTGTGACTTGGGATGTGTGTTTTGGCTGCATGCAAGGGGGTGCAAAGCTCTCATTTCCCGTAAGTGGCGGTCTAGTTGGGAAAACGTGTTAATTCATTTATCAATACATCAGTTCAGACACTCGGGGGAGGGGTTATTGCGTTAACTTGGAGAGGTTATTGCATTAACTAGATGACCTCCTGAGGTCCCTTCCAACCCTGATATTCTATGATTCTACAATCTGGATGAGGGGATTGAGATCTGGAGGAGGCAGCACTAGTGACTATCCAAGGTTGGTGCTACGGCCTCCCCGCAACTTTGAATTTCACCTTTGTTTAGACTGTGAAATGTTTATGGATTAAAAAAAAAGTATAAAAATAAAACCATAAAAAAGGCAGGGGAGAGCTTTCCTGTTGTATTAGGGAGGCCTGAAAATCTATTGATTGCTGAAATTAAGGCGCAGAGCCTAGCAGAAGTTGAAGGTGTGTCAGTCAAATGCTCACCTCCCCACCCCACCATTACAAAATGTGGCAGAGCAGTCCCTGCTCCTTTCAGCAGGTTTCCCAGGGCTGGTAAGGCAGAGGAATAGCTAGAATTCTGATTGGATGTGACGAAGGGGTGGGGCTTGGAAGGTGATTGACAGCCGCTTTGAATGCAAGATGAGGGAAGAACAGTGGGTACGAGCATTCTGATTGGAAGAGGACAGGGAGAGGCGGGCCTTTGCAGCTGATTGATGGCAGTTTGAATTTTAAGTGGGAAAACGATGCCTACCGGTCGCTACTGCTAAGTTTTCCTCAGGTAATGAGGGTGGGGTGCAAGCCCAGCAATGTGAAGCCTTTGCCTGGGCCTGTATGTGCACATGAACCCTGGTGCCCTCAGCCACTTAACCCCACTCGTTAATGAGAGCGGGGCGGGGTCTCTCCCTGTTTAAAGTTTGTCTTGCCCCTGCTGGGGCATCTCCAGGGCTAGAGAGAGTCATGTGCTGTGTCCTGTTTTTACCTGCAGTCGTGTGTGTCTGGGGGAGGCGGGGGCATCCCCTGTTCAGGAGCCCCCCGTGGCTGCCCTCTCCTAGATGTCGCCTGCCTTCACAGCCACCCTCTCAGTGAGCCACATTGCTGGGAGCAGCCACTGACTGCAGAGAACTGGCAGGTCTAGCCTTACGCTCCCCTGGGAGTGGGGCTGGATTTAGGATTGTGAGGAGCTGCCCCCCACCCCAGGGGTTGTTTCTGGAGTGGGGAGCGCACCTCAATCCCTCCCTTCTGGTTCCACAACTCTCCTACTGCACAAGGCCTGGCACAGCTCCAGCTGAGCGGTCATCTGTAGTAACACCCATCTGCCTGCAAGTGGGGGTTGTTCTGTCAACCATGGGCTCCCTTAAATGGCAGGTTTAATGGATCCAAAGCTAGCTGTCGCTGAACTTCCATGCAAGACACCTGCTGATGTGTCTGGAAACCATCATTATTACAGGCAGGTATGGAACCTAGATAAGAATGTAGAAACGGCCATACTGGGTCAGACCAAAGGTCCATCTAGGCCAGTATCCTGTCTTCCCACAATGGTCAATGCCAGGTGCTCCAGAGGGAATGAACAGAACAGGTAATTATCAGGTGATCCATCCCTGTCTCCCATTCTCAGCTTCTGGCAAACAGAGGCTAAGGACACCATACCTGCCCATTCTGGCTAATAGCCATTGATGGACCTACTCTCCATGAACTTATCTAGTTCTTTTTTGATTCCTGTTATAGTCTTGGCCTTCACAACATCCTCTGGCAAGGAGTTCCACAGGTTGACTGTGTGTGAAAAAATACTTCCTTTTGTTTTAAACCTGCCTCCTATTAATTTCATTTGGTGACCCCTAGTTCTCGTGTTGTTTACTTTCTCCACACCAGCCATGATTTTATAGACCTCTATCATATTCCCCCTTAGTTGGCTCCTTTCCAAGGTGAAAAGTCCCAGTCTTATTAATTGCTCCTCATACAGAAGCTGTTCTGTGCCCCTAATAATTTTTGTTGCCATTTTCTGAACCTTTTCCAATTCCAATATATCCTTTTTGAGATGGGGTGACCAGATATGCACACAGTATTCAAGATGTGGGCGTACCATGGATTTATATAGGGGCAATATGATATTTTCGGTCTTATTATCTATCCCTTTCTTAATGATTCCCAACATTCTGTTCGCTTTTTTGACAGCTGCTGCACATTGAGTGGGTTTTCAGAGAACTAGCCACAACGATTCCAAGATCTCTTTCTGCCATATTGAATCATCAGACCCATGGTCCACCTAGCCTAGTACCTTGTCTCTGGCAGCAGCTAGTACCAGCTGTTTCAGTGCCAGAGGAAGGTGAAAGAAACCCTGCAGCAGGCACTAATGGAATAACCTGACATAAGGAGAAGTTTCTCCCTGCTAGTGAGATGTTGGCTTGATGGTTTGAAAACAGGATTTAAAACATACACATTTTTTTGTAGACCGTGAGCCAAAAAAATCATCATTTGGTGAAACTGAAATAAAATCATAAAAGTTCCTGAAGTGGGATCCCCAGATTTCTGGATTTCATGCACTCACTGTTACACTTGTGCTTTAGGTCTAGTTTCTAAATGGGAATCCCTTTTGAGGGTTCATCAGCACTGCTCATAGCTTGGCCAAATAAGTTATTGCAGAGCTACACTCAGCCTAACCTCCCAGATGCCAACAACGGTTAAAGTGAGGTTCTCTTAGGTCTCCCGGCCATTGCTGAGTTTGGGAGCAATCCGGCAGATCTGGACAAAATCAGTCTGTGTCTTTCATGTGGTAGCACAGACACACTAATCCCAGAGATGGCTGGCTCAGGGAATGAGCGACAGGATGCGAGAACCAAATATTGATTTTTTGATTAGTAGCACAAAAGACTAACTATGAGGCACAGTTTCATTTACATGACATTATGTTTATGATATGAACTGACAAACAACAACAAAAAAACAGAAAAAAAATCACAGCTACATCCAGTTTGTGGTCCTTAACTATTCATTTCCTGGCTGTACAGTTTAGCTTTAATGTTATTTAAATTAAATTGTGCATATCAAGTTTTCTATTTTTAGCAGGAATATATTTTAGTTTAATGATCTGGGTTCAATTATGAATAAATAATTGTTACATAGTTTTAATCAGGTACACTGTTCTTTAAGAGATGATCCAGGGTGTTGAGTAAATAAGTAATTCTAGGTATTTTTAAAAAGCATAATATTTATTATGTAGACCTAGGAGTCCTATGTAATGTTGCCCCCAAATGTTGTACTGTGATGCCGTGACCCAGCATTGCATTGATTTTTGTATCCCCAATATATTTCTTGACATCTAATGTGAGCTGTAGGTTTGTACTGATGTTGCCCATGCTGTTCCTGTTCTGCGAATAGAAAACTTCAAGCTGTTACTCTTGAACCTTTCACTATCAGTAAATTCACCTTAACAAACAAACAAACAAACTTACATGCCTAGCTTGGAAGTCATAGAACACCATGTCAAAAGTAAGACCAGCCCCACAGAAATCAAGATGAGTGGGGAGACCCACACCAGGAGGACAAAGGCACTGGTGCTAAGTGTTCAACTCCAGCAGGTTATGATTCTAATAGTGTTATCTAATCAACTTGTAAAAAACAGATCAATATGTGCTGCTATATAACCACTGTCACAGTGCATCAGTGCACCAAAACAAAGAAAGACACAAAGGCAGGAGAGAAATCCTGCTGTCAGGGTTCCCTCGCCACTCTGAACTCTAGGGTACAGATGTGGGGACCCACATGAAAGAACCCCTAAGCTTATTTTTACCAGCTTAGGTTAAAACTTCCCCAAGGCACAAATTCTTTGCCCTTGGACGGTACGCTGCCACCACCAAGTGATTTAACAAAGATTTAGGGAAAGGACCACTTGGAGTTCCTATTCCCCCAAGCCCTTACACCCCCTTTCCTGGGGAGGCTTGAGAATCATATCCTAACCAATTGGTTACAAAGTAATCGCAGACCCAAACCCCTGGGTCTTAGGACAATAGAGAAATCAGTCAGGTTTTTAAAAGAAGGATTTTATTTTAAAAAAAGGTAAAAATCACCTCTGTAAAATCAGGATGGAAAATAACTTTACAGGGTAACAAAAGATTCAAAAACACAGCAGAATTTCCTCTAGGCTTAGTTTTAAAGTTACAAAAACCAGGAGTAAACCTCCCTCCAGCAAAGGAAAAATTTACAAGCAGAACAAAAGATAATGTAACACGCCTTGCCGGGCTTTTACTTACAATTTGTAATCTAAGAGACTTTTAGGATGGTTTATAGGAGAAGGAGTTTTCTGACCTGATGCTTCTCTGCTTCCCAAGAGAACACACC